TTCTCTTTCCACGAAATTCTGTACGAAGGTACTTTTAACAGTTTCACCCAATAACAGTAAAGCATACAGATAATACGTTTCGGTACTTTGATGGATTAATAAGTACATATTATATTCCATGATATTGAGATACCAAAATTATTAACATAATTATATAATGTATAACAAATTAGACAGCAAAAAGCAAAAGCAGAAAACGCATGAGCAACATAATGCTGTCAGGTAGTAAGCTTTCAACAATTATCGAAACTGCTTAGTTATGAGAATATTGCAATCACTACAATTTCCTATAGTCTGCCCTACAGATGGAAACAAAATAGGTCTAATATGAAAATTATGAGCTAATTGCAATCACTACAATTTTCTTTAGTCTACCCAAGAGGTGGAAACAAAATATGTCTACAGTATATTCCGTCGGGTAACTGAAATTTGAGAAAACGTCCGTATGGAATAATACCTGTATTCCGAATCAAAAAGAGGTCATACCAAATATGTGCATGTTCACACATTTACAACAGTAATTTACACCGGGAATCATTAATACATTGTAATAATCTTTTATGAAAGTATAGATAATGAAATTTGTTATGATCAGTCGGATAACTCATACAAGTGAGCACTAAAACTAGGGACCTACCGGTTCATGTCTGTGTGAACACATTCGTCTGTGTTTTATTGTAATTAGCAGTGTCTCCTTGTATAGCATATATAAGAAGTGTACCTAAGGTCAGATATTTAAACTGTTATGTAAATTCCATTACAAAATGTATAAATGATATTACCTATTGGTCAGAAAGACTTATCAGTACCCCAACACCGACCACTGCCACACCCTCTCCCTCGCACACACACACTCCCTAACATACATATCGCTCTGGCCCATAGACCCGACATTTGAACCTTTTAAACAGACACCATGTGTATGTCAAGAAAGACACGCACGTTATTAGTGGTGCTCAGTCATTGGTATCACCTCACCTCACCTCACCTTCTAATTATCTCAGTACATTATGGCGTGGTCGGACGCGCTAACGAACCCTATGTGACAGTTACATTACAGCACCATTGAAATACATGTTAAAGTAGTTCTAATCTTGTAACACTATACTTACTCATTTCCAACCATTTACGCATGTACAAAAATATATGACAAACCTAACCCTGGTCATACAAGATTTCAAGGGTATTGAAATGCATGTCCTACAATCACAGCATTTACATCTGTTACACATGTTAGGAAACACATGGAAACAATGGACAGATTTACACACCTGTGAAGTACATGTAAATGCAGAGCCGACTGTTCGTTTATTTTAACACCCCTTTAAACGTGTGTAAATCTGACGGCCAGATGATACGTAGATTTCAAACGTTCATATGGCCGCCGGATGAAACGAGTATTTCCTGACGTTAGTAAATTTGGGTAATACAGTCATTTTGTGTGGTGATTGAGGATCCATTGAGGATGCAATAGGGAAAACTCAGCGACAGTTTTCCATTACAGCTGTAGACATTGATCGCATTCAAAGATTATTCAAATCAAATTGATGACAATATTTGATGCGTTGCTCGTGATCATGAAAATCATCAGATACGTTAAAACTGTTCGTTCATAGATATCTGTAATCAAAGATATCCCAGTATTAACCTTAGCCTTATTTAATGTTTCATTTGGTCTTTTATTCATGTTGCATTGAAATTGTTAATGTTTGAAATGATATCTTCAAGCATTAGATACGTTCACTATATCTGATCAGATACATTAACTGTGATTCCCAATGGTTTTGTTGTGGTTTTAAAGTAAATAGTATAGATGCGCATTTTCAGTTTTGATTCTAAACCTGGTTGTCAACATGAATGTATAATACTGTCAAAGTACGTGCCAGCATTGGACGTCTCGTTATGGTTATGTTAATTGACTGAAAATTTGAAACATGAAACGTTTAGAATAAAACATGGAAAATCATTGTTTTTGTTTTTCATATTTGCAATTGTTCTACTTATTTTGTTATTGTCCTGCGTTGTATGAAATTCTTATTAATTATCTAGCGTTCGCAAGTTGCAACGGGTTTTCTTTCTGGCTGGTTTGAAATATGTTACCTACTTAACGTATCTGACGTTCAACAAAATGACTACTCTTTTTCACCAGTCGATATTTTAAAAACCTTTCTTCATTTGTGTCCATCAATTACAGATTCTGAAAGACCGTATCCTAGATTATCTCGACACGCTTTTAAATCATAATAATTGTTTATTTCTTTTCCTACCACTAAATCTCAGAAAATGTGCACTTTGCGGATAATGTGTGACAAGCTGGTCAAATTTGGCTCGATGCGCAAGGAGTGAACAAATTGTTTTAATCAACATGTTATCTAATGTTATAGCGTAGCCTATTTAGATGTTATATTATACTCTATTTGCTTTAAAAAATACTTTTTGATCAAGCATACCTGTTCAGATGACATATCTATCAACCAAAGCACGAACGTACAGCGCACTATATCCATTACAGCTGTAGACATTGATCGCATTCAAAGATTATTCAAATCAAATTGATGACAATATTTGATGCGTTGCTCGTGATCATGAAAATCATCAGATACGTTAAAACTGTTCGTTCATAGATATCTGTAATCAAAGATATCCCAGTATTAACCTTAGCCTTATTTAATGTTTCATTTGGTCTTTTATTCATGTTGCATTGAAATTGTTAATGTTTGAAATGATATCTTCAAGCATTAGATACGTTCACTATATCTGATCAGATACATTAACTGTGATTCCCAATGGTTTTGTTGTGGTTTTAAAGTAAATAGTATAGATGCGCATTTTCAGTTTTGATTCTAAACCTGGTTGTCAACATGAATGTATAATACTGTCATTTGTGTCCATCAATTACAGATTCTGAAAGACCGTATCCTAGATTATCTCGACACGCTTTTAAATCATAATAATTGTTTATTTCTTTTCCTACCACTAAATCTCAGAAAATGTGCACTTTGCGGATAATGTGTGACAAGCTGGTCAAATTTGGCTCGATGCGCAAGGGGTGAACAAATTGTTTTAATCAACATGTTATCTAATGTTATAGCGTAGCCTATTTAGATGTTATATTATACTCTATTTGCTTTAAAAAATACTTTTTGATCAAGCATACCTGTTCAGATGACATATCTATCAACCAAAGCACGAACGTACAGCGCACTATATCCATTACAGCTGTAGACATTGATCGCATTCAAAGATTATTCAAATCAATCTTCAATGTAACTGTCACATTGGGTTCGTTAGCGCGTCCGACCACGCCATAATGTACTGAGATAATTAGAAGGTGAGGTGAGGTGAGGTGATACCAATGACTGAGCACCACTAATAACGTGCGTGTCTTTCTTGACATACACATGGTGTCTGTTTAAAAGGTTCAAATGTCGGGTCTATGGGCCAGAGCGATATGTATGTTAGGGAGTGTGTGTGTGTGCGAGGGAGAGGGTGTGGCAGTGGTCGGTGTTGGGGTACTGATAAGTCTTTCTGACCAATAGGTAATATCATTTATACATTTTGTAATGGAATTTACATAACAGTTTAAATATAATGCTAATAAATAACTTAGATTGTGAGCAGATGTACCCTTGAGGGTGGTTGAAATAACGTAAACAAATTGTCCCTCTAAAATGCTATGAACGCTCAACAGCGTTTGATGCATGCATGTCTGACTTTTTTAAATGTAGTATATTCGTAATTTTGATTTTTGCTAGACTGAGGGAAAGGTGTAGTTCCAGCCAGGGTCCATGCAGGTAGCAATAGTACATGGTCCCTGGTATGGTGATCTACCTTCAGTTAATGATGATCTGTTAACCATTTTTATATTGTGTTGTTGATCAATAATTAATTTTCTTAAACTGCTATCAACTAGTTATAAATTGTACCCGTGATATTCTAGTTATTAACATGTCCATCGATGATAGGACCCATATTCAAACTATATTTAGTAAATATTTTCATATACTGAAATGAGAGCCACGATAAGGCTGAAATATTGCCGATCTCATGAAGGCAGAATTTCCATGGTAATAGCATCGAAAAGAGACGTCAGTTTCTCAAATGCCTGCCTCCTTTGGCTCTCGCTAAAAGTACTATTTCCAATAACAAAGTCTGAGCGGATGGGTAGATAAAGCGTTCGCTCGTCACAACGAAGACAGGGATTGATTCCAACCATGGGTACACGGTGTAAAGCCCATTGCATGTGTGCCCCACCGTGATATTGCTGGAATATTGCCCAAAGCAGCATAAACCTAAACCCAATAACAAAGTCTATTGTAATAGAGCATGCAACTGTATGGATTACAACTTCTTGTTTACTGCTGTCCATAAAGTTGTATGTTTCCTTACTTACGCACGAATTTATAGAATGCCGATCAAACCAAAATGTTTCCTATACTATTTCAGAATCCGACATGTAAATAATAGTTTCATTTGTTTACATGTTCTACATTTTGTTCAATATTTTACCGTTTTGTTGTTTGACATTAAGAAAAAATGGGCAATACTGCACACCAATCTATATTTGTAGACGGTTTGGCAGCTATATCGGAATTGTCTTGCAAAAACGCATTTCAATCACTGATCCAGAAACACTAAATTCAGATCATAACACTGAACGCTGAGTTTCCTTACACCTCAGTAAAAGTGAATATGAAGACCGTGATTCATCCTGCTCTCGAACTTTCACTCATACCGTAATGTTTTTTCATTAAGGTATGCGTGAAAGTTCAATTGATCAGAAAATACTCCAATTTATTTAAAATGATTAAATATATGCCATAAATGCATAGTTTTTGTCAACTTTGATATTATATTCTTAATATAAAAGTTATTGGGAAGTTATATTTCTGAGCTAAAGGAATATCCCTGTATAGACAACATTATTATACTAATTATAAATCCCCATGTAGCAGCCTCAAAATCCATGACAATAGACTCCACAGATGGTGACACTAGCAGTAGGTCAAGCAGTTTATTGAAATCCTTCACATAGACCGATTTATTTCGTGAGGAGATTATTACAAAAAGTAAGGGCATCATCTTTACATCCTGCTTTGACCGCACGAAGGTATGCACTGAGAAGGGTTGGTAAAACGGCCGTTTAACCACCTTCCATCCAACCATTGTCTTGACTTGCTCTGACGGTCTGTGGCGAGGATGAGGTGCCTTTGCTCCTTGTTTGTCTGGTCTGCTTTCAAGAAGCCCACAGGGGTGAACGTTGTGGAAATCTGAAAATATAATTGTCCAAATGTTCATATTTCTACGGAAGTGTCCTAGTGTCACAGTCAGAATTTTTTTCATCTCCTAATTAGGTGATACTATCTCCTAATTAGGACTTAATATCTCCTAATTAGGACTTAGCTATCTCCTAATTAGGTGATCCTATCTCCTAATTAGGACTTAATATCTCCTAATTAGGTGATACTATCTCCTAATTAGGACTTAATATCTCCTAATTAGGACATAGCTATCTCCTAATTAGGTGATACTATCGCCTAATTGGGACTTAATATCTCCTAATTAGGACTTAGCTATCTCCTAATTAGGTGATACTATCGCCTAATTAGGACTTAGTATCTCCTAATTAGGACTTAGCTATCTCCTAATTAGGGATTAATATATCCTAATTAGGACTTAATGATCTTATAAATAAAGTCAACCTGTAGTCATTCACTTCTTCTGTTTGGGTTTAGCATCTTGGATGAAGTCATGGATGAAAGCATATGCATTTGTTTCATGTTGGGCATGCACTATTCTGAAATTGTGGCTTGTGTGGCCCATGTAAATGGCATCATTATCAGCATGAAGACTTTGAAAAGGAAATCAAAATGACTGAAACTGTTTAGGCGAAGACATACTAGTGAAAGAGGTAGAAGAGGTAGCAGAATCAGTGATTACACAGTGCCATTTAGAAAGTGGTCAGATGTAACCTTAGTTATATATGGGATTACACTTTCTTAGTAAAGTACAAATTCTAGTTCTTTTGTCGGGTTGAGTCCCATCCGGGTTTCGAACCCACACCCTCAGAGTCAGGCACCTAATCGCCAGCGGTGGCTGGAAGTCGCGGTGGGTGAGCCGGCTGACTTTGTGTGCTGGCGATCGGATGGCTGGCGATTGGATGCCATCCCTGATGGGACCCAACCCAACAAAAGTACCAGAGATTGTACTTACTAAAAGTGTAATCCCAAATATAACTTTATATGTTATAGAAGAATCAGGACAAATATGTGGTTACAAGCTTATGCATCTGAAATGCATAGAAGAGGGATTCGCTGTCAGTCAAGACACGGTGCGTCTTTGCTGCATTTAGTAGTGGTAGAAATAAGAGTACCAGAACACCCAACGCCAATGACGTCACCTGTTCATTATTATTTATCCACAGTATCGCATAATCCATATTATCTTTGAGATCAGCAGTCACTTTTTTTCAGATCGTCATGTAAGCATGCCTTGTCATATAAACACAGTCCTTACTGTCTTACGAATCTGTAACAGGCTACATACATACGTCTTCCCAACTGAACAGAAGGCTGTCCCAGGTTTATACATAGTTTTATATATAGTGTAATGTCTGTCCACTTGTATCCAATAATATATTTCGAGTCTAAGCCTGTGCATACACGCCTGGCTATGTACAACAGACGTGACCTGTATAACTAGGTCAGTGGGTTAGTAGGCCTACCTTTCAAATCGTCTTGCACAACTATATTGTAAACCATGTTTATAAAAACAAACAAAACGTTATCACTAAGTTTTACAGTCATTTTTACACGTGCAATCACAACAATTAATTTAACAGTAGTTCCATTAGCATTTCCCATATTTCCCCATTTTATGCACCAATATTTGGTCGTCTCCCTTCAATGACAAGCGATATCTTCCCGAAGATGGTGTAACCAGTCTGGCCTATGGCCATTGGAGAATCAGAGAAGAGCCAATGAATGGAGGTATGATTAGCCCAGAACCTTGTTGTTCTGTCACTGACCTTTTGAGGAGAAACATCAAGATGGATATCTGTTTTTTGTGTGGAAATACTTATACATGGTCTTATGATTTGAAGACTGACTGACTGACTGAGTTTGGTTTTACACCGCTTTTAGCAATATTCCAGCAACATCATGGCGGGGGACACCAGAAATGGGCTTCACACATTGTACCCATGTGGGGATTCGAACCCGGGTCTTTGGAGTGACGAGCCAACGCTTTAACCACTAGGCTAACCCACCGCCCCTATAATTTGAAGATACACATGAGAGTCAAACATTCTGATGAATGACAAAATGTGGTTCCACTGACGCTGACGACGACGCAGACGCAGCCGCAGCAGCAGCAGACACAGCACCACCACCACTACCACCACACACACACACAAATACATACCACCACACCACCACCATCACCATCACCATCTCCCACCACCACATACCACCACACACCCACCATCACCACCACATACCACCAGACACCACCACATGGTAGAGAGATGTGTAAAGTGTATATTGTATATTTCAAGAGACATCTGTATATAGATTGTAAGGGTGGCTTGGGGAGGCTCTGCTACCCATGTCCATTCTGCATGCACGGGGATATTAAATATTGTGTATAGAAGTTGTATGTTGTCATTGTTTATTTCGCTCTATAAAGTTGCATTTGTGCAGGCATGTGTCATTACACAAACGGACTACTTGAGTTTTTTTCAACTTGGCGTCGGCCATGCTATACAGGAAACAAGGGGGATTCATTTGTGTGGTAGCCTCTCACATTCAGGGAGGCTACCCGATCTCTATGGTAGTACATGCAGTTGGGTGTTCTTGTACTCTCATTTCTGCCACAACTAAATGCAGCAAATGAAGCACCATGTCTTGACTGATAATGAATCCCTCTTCTATGCATTTCAGATACATAAGCTTGTAAGCACACATTTGTCCTGATTCTTCTGGCCCTGGCCGTGATATTGCTGGAAGCGGCGTAAAACCATACTCACTCACTCACTTTCACTACGAACATAGCAACTTCTGCAATATCACTATTATGTCTTCGCCTAAACAGATTCAGTCGTTTTGATTTTCCTTTTCAAAGTCTTCATGCTGATAATGATGCCATTTACATGGGCCACACAAGCCACAATTTCAGAATAGTGCATGCCCAACATGAAACAAACGCATATGCTTTCATCCATGACTTCATCCAAGATGCTAAACCCAAACAGAAGTGAATGACTACTGGTTGACTTTATTTATAAGATCATTAAGTCCTAATTAGGAGATATTAAGTCCTAATTAGGAGATACTAAGTCCTAATTAGGAGATAGTATTACCTAATTAGGAGATAGTATCACCTAATTAGGAGATAGCTATGTCCTAATTAGGAGATATTAAGTCCTAATTAGGAGATAGTATCACCTAATTAGGAGATAGTATCACCTAATTAGGAGATAGCTACGTCCTAATTAGGAGATATTAAGTCCTAATTAGGAGATAGTATCACCTAATTAGGAGATAAAAAAATTCTGACTGTGGCACTAGGACGCTTCCGTATATTTCCACTACTTGAATGTTGTTAGTATTCATTTATTTTCATATGTACGGGAGTGAGTGGATAGTTGGCATAGTAGATATCATTTGTGTGTGTATTCAGTTAAGACAGTTAGATGTCATTGTGGAGATTGAATATTACCTCAAAATCCAAATCTTGTGGATGCTTGGGTCTCTTCATTTCCGGTATAGATCTTAAGAATTTACTTAGTGAGCAACATATATATATAAGATTGAAAGCCAAGATAGAATTGAAGGGCCAGTAACTAACAATGAACTCCTAACTGCACTTAAAAAATATAAAGATGACAAGAGTCACTGCTCTCATGGCTTCTCCTATGAATGTTTAAAAACATTCTGGATTGACCTTGGAGACCTATCAAGATCACTGAATTGCATTTTTGAAACTGGTCACTCATCTATAACCCAGAAACAAGGAATTATAATCTGCATTCCAAAGGGAGACAAACCAAGGCACTTATTAAAAACTGGCGCCCATTATTTTATTGAATTCCTCATATAAACTTTTGTCTTCAATCATTGCAAATAGACTGAAAGGGGTTCTCCCCAATATATTTAGTGAAGAACAAACAGGAATTATTTCTGAGTAACCATAAAAATGGTTTTCATGGCACCAATCAACCATTTTGTTGACAAGTACACAACACCTGTCAGTAGCAGGTATGGGATCCACAAGATGCAGTGAAATACTGGAACCTAGGATCCATGCTTACAATAAGCTGAGATATTTAAGCCAAATCTGACCCGACATCATAGTTTTCTGTTGAATCAATGATTTGGTCCTTAGCAAAGTGTGAAGAGTATATATTAAGTCAAGCGTAGTAATTAATGGAAGAATGTCACCTTGGATGTCAATTCATCGGGGCTGCAGACAAGGGGACCCGTTATCTCCCTATATAACTCACTTTGCGCAGAAATATTATCAGCTCTTGTAAAGAAAAATAAAGATAGTAAAGGAATAATGATAAATGGCATTGAATACTTGATTGCGCAATACGCAGATGACACTGAATTTATCGTAGATGGTTCAAAGAAATCTTGCGAAGCTCTAATTAATACATTAGGAATGGACATAAATTAGGATAAATCAGAAGTCGTTTGGATAAGAAACCATAGAAATAGTGATGTGAAATTTAGACTAGATTTAAACTTGCGTTAGAAACCTGAGAACTTCAGGATTCTTAGAATTATATTTTCTGTGGATGTTAACAAGATGAACAGATTCAATAAGGAAAGTAAATCTATGAAATTGAAGAAATTATTAAAAGATGGATGAAAAGAACCATAACTCCTTTGGGAAAAATTGCTGTAATAAAGGCCTTGCTCATTTCCAAATTAATTGTTTTCTTTCTAACTCTTCCTAACCCACCTACAGACTTTCTTATGAAGTATTTTATTTAGTTTCCTTTGGGATAACAAAATAAAACGGTGAGCGGTTTGCAAGCCAGTTGCTGAAGGAGGGCTTGGAATGATAAATATATTTGCTCATGTTGATGCTTTGAAAAAAACATGGATTAGAAAACTACTTTGTGCTTATTATGAAAGGAAGTGGAAAAATCTTTTCACTAAAGATTGTCCTCAGTATTTAAAGCCATTGATCTTTGGCAATGAATACCCACTAATGCTTTCATAATCACTGCAAAATAGCTTTTGGTGAGACACTATGAATGCCT